AAAAAAATATATATTATAATATATATATAAAAAATTTTATAATATATATTAAAATAAAAATATAATTTATATATTATTATAAAATATATTATAGGTAGTAAGGGGGTTTGGAGACAGCAACCGCCCGGGAAAGGGAAATACCCCCTTTCCAAAATGAGTGTAAAAAAGAAAGCCTGTAATTGTTTTACAATGGAAGGGTTGCCGGGGTCCCCCTTTTTTTTTGTCTCATGAAAAAATGCAAGAAAATTTTAGGGATGCTTGGGTACCCTTTTACTTACACTTAGGGCACACTACACATACATTACAAGCACAAAAATATAACACCCCCCTGGGTTTTTTTCTAATTTTTTCCCCTTTTAAATTTTTTTTTCTTTTTATTTTCCTTTAACTTTTGGGGAAGTGGGAAAAGAATTTTTTCCTCCGTAAACCTTTCGTGTTGGTTTTTAAAAGGCAACTAAAATGCCGGGAGCAAGGGGGTAGTAACCTCTTCTCCTGTATATATTAAAAAATGTTTAAAAGGGGGAAACTTCGTTTTTTTCCCTTTTGGGCCCCCCCCCGCCTCGGTGGGAAAAAACGGCCGTTGGGGTTTTAAAAAAAGAATATTTTATATATATAAAATAATAAATATATATTATATTAAATTTTATTTTATAATATAATATTAATATTATATATTATATATAATTAAAATATATATATAAAATATATATTATAGGTAGTAGGTTGGTTTGACAGCAACCCCCAGGGGGGTTAACCGTCCTCCCCAAATGATGAAAACGAAAGCCTTTTAAAATTTTTTTACATTATGGAAAGGGTTGCTTTGGGGTCCTTTTTCTGTCTCAGGGAAAATGCAAAATTTCAGGTACTCTTGCTCTTCACTTTCACCCTTTGGTCACACTACACATACAAATTTCAAGCACATATTATACACACCCCCCCTGGGTTTTTTTTCTATTTTCTTTCTAGTTCTTTTTCTTGTTTATTTTCCCCTTTTCCCCTTGGGGAAATGGGAAAAGAATTTTTCCTCCGTAAGTCATGCGTTTTGTTAAAAGGCGACTAAAAAAGCCGGGAGCAAGGGGGGTAACCTCTTTTTTCCTGTATATATTACTAAAGTAAAAAGGGGAAACTTTCGTTTTTTCCTTTTTTGGGGCCCCCCCCGCCCGGTGGGGATACCCGGCCGGGGGTTTTAAAGAAAAAAGATATATATATACATGTAAAAAAAAAAAAAAAAAAATATATAAATTATAAAAATATATATATATATTAAAAATAATATAACACCCCACACAAAATTTCCCCTTTTTGGGTTTTTTTTCTATTTTCTTTTCTAATTCCTTTTTTAATTAAAGGGAAAAATTTAAATTTTAGATTTTTGCAAATTTTCATAAAGCTTCCCCTTGAAAGTAAATTTCTTGGGATTTTTAGTACAAATTATTCAAAGCAAGTGATTAATCAAGGTTACTTAAAACAATTTTTACACCCACAGGGCCCAAAGACACACTGCAATGCTAAAAAAGGGCTAAGAGGCACAGAACCATCTACGTTTAACTTTTTGGGGGTAACCCCTGGGCCCTTGCACTAAACTTCGACTCTCAAACCAACTAGACAAATTTAGACTTTTCCCCAGGAAAAAAATTTTTACCAATTTTAATGTGACTAGCAGCCATCAAATCCCAAATTTGGCGCCGAAGGGGCCTTTAAAAAAGTGGGATAAAGCTGGTCCAAGCGTTTTGGGAAAATATTTTCTGAATTTTATTCAATGGCCTAGTAAATTTATTTCAAGTGTTTATGAAAGTTGGGAAAATTGTTTAAAACACAAAAGACCCCCATTATATGCATGTGCAAAATTCATGTAACTTATCCTAATGCTTACAGACAAAAGTAAATCCCCCAACTTACAAAAACATTGGGACCTCCCAAATTTTATATACTAACATAAAACCCGGGCTTCGTAATCCAGCCCTTTAACTTGAACATGTTGGGGGCCTGTAAAAATGTATAACAGTAAAATAATACTATAACACAATGATATAACACCAAATAAAACATTTTAGAAGACCCCTCAACATGTTTTTAAGGGGGAGGACCTTTTCTTAAACCCGACTATTTCCGAAATAGGTTTTTTATTAAAAATTTACCAAATACTTGGGATTCCCTATAAAACAAAACCAAATTTTGAACTTGCTAATTTTAATCCAGTAATATTTTTCCCCTCCCCAAACCCAGGAGGCACCTTTTTTGAGAATTGGGCCTTGAGGGTGAAATTCCCAGAACCACTTAGAGATAATGAAAGTTTATTTTATAAAATTTTTCAAAAGCTTGCATCAATACAGGGGAATTTTTTTTTCCCTAGTTTAATACCTACTTTTTTCACTCTTTCCCTTCTAACCCCCTTAAAACCCTTTCAGGGTTTAGCCTCTGAACGAAAAAAGCTCCCCAGGGTCCAGGAATTTGGAAAAAAAAAATTTTTATTTAAATGATAGAGAATCTTTTTTTCCAAAAGGGAATTTAAACCAAAAGTGTGAAATTTGAAAAGAAAACTATGGAATTTTCACTTGCAATGTTATCGGCCTTGCAGAATTTATGCATTGGGGATTTGGCCCCCCTTTGAGTCCTTTTTTTAAAAACCCCTTCCCCTTTTTTTTCCCGTTAAAACCCTACTCTTGGCTAAATTTTTCTAGTATGTCCCTTTCCCTTTTAAACAATTGATACATAAAAAAACCCTTTTTTAAAAATTTTAGCTACAAATAAAAAGTAAAACCCGAAATTTGGGAATTTGGCCAATTTCACACAAGATTTTAAAAAAATTTCAAATTTAAAAAAAATTGGGCCAGAAAAAAAACAATGTAGACATTTTTGGCACTAAAACATTTCCTCTGTTCATTAGTTACATCCCCAGGCCTCTCCTACATTACACTTGCTTTCCATTTTGAATTTTTATTTACAACTAATAGAATATTTACTGGGATATGTTGTGTATCTTTATATGTGTATGCTTCTAAACTGTTGTATTCTGAGCACCTCTGCAAAAACAGTGATAATGTGTGAGTGTGGTGAAAGTGTTGAATGATGAAAGTATTTTCTTTTTGGGGATTTTCTTTCTTTTTTGGGTCACCCTGCCTCGGTGGGAGACGGCCGACTTGTTGGAAAAAAAAAAAAAATTGTGAATGCATATTGGACGAGTAATGTAATTGGTGTCCTCTGGAATAGCAATAATCAAACATTTCTGCTACTTTGAGCTCAGTTTCAAGCTGCTACTTCCACTTCTGAAAGCAATCACAATCACTCTATGTAATATATCCTCCATTCTAACAAATGATACCATGAAACCGAGAATACAACCCTAAAAACCATCCAAGAATACACCACAAGTCACTATTTTAAACCAGATATACAGTCAGTTTTTCCATCATGCACTGTGTGGGGCAGGATTTTTTAATAGGGTGCACACTCGCCACATAGACCCATTGTCTCATATCTAGACCCAAGTTTACTGTTTACTGCTTATCTGAGTGAGCCGAGTTCATCATGTAGTACTACGACACAGACCCTAATCTCAAAGTCGTAGTACTATAGCACAGACCTCGATGACGGTAAGGGGCTCTTGATCCAAGGAATTTTACCTGAGCCCCCCCCCTTAGATTGAATTTGGATGCCTCCCATTTTCTATAGGCATAGTAACATAATTCATGTATATTTAGTGAGCATTTCTCATTCAGTTCATGCATTTTTATAACTTGACTCAAGTATATGTGCACAGGGTCATTTTTTCAATAGACTAGAATTATAAAATTCCTGCAGGATTTCCTAATTGTTTCCTTGTAGATTTTTTAATTAGGTTCATCACAAAGCATTGATATATTAAGCAACTTGAATGTGTTGGAAATGACTTAAATGTAATGGACTGAATATATGTTAAAGAATAAGGTTATGAGAGAAAAAAAAAAAACAGTAAACCGTAATGCTTCGACAACAGTTAAATTATTCAACTTGTCTATGCCTTTCTGTCCATTCTTCTTTATTTTTATTTTTCTCCATTATTTTATCTGTGGTAATCTTTACTTTCTATATACTGTATTGTTTCTGTGGTAATCTTTACTTTCTATATACTGTATTGTTTCTGTGGTAATCTTTACTTTCTATATACTGTATTGTTTCTGTGGTAATCTTTACTTTCTATATACTGTATTGTTTCTGTGGTAATCTTTACTTTCTATATACTGTATTGTTTCTTGGAAAAAACAGGCAGTTGTTACTTTCTCTTTTTGATAATCAAGCCTTTTTTTTTTTTTTTTTTTTTAAGCAAATGTTAAAGCTGTTTCTATAGATATCTTGTATGTGATGGTTGATGGTAGTTATGTGTTGGTTGATGGTAGTTATACTGTATTATTGTGCTTTATAATTCTAACAATCTTGAAACTAGCAGGCCAGGGTACTATCCACTGTACCTTGCTGGTCTATTATGATTGGTTATTTTAGGTGCATTTTTATACACTGAAAGTTAGCATGGGCCCCACTGTGACCACAGATGCAAATTTATACAGACAAATCTCACACGAGCATGGCTGTTGTAAGTTTCTAGCTCAAGCCCCTTCAAAGCTGTTATGAATGACTAGTGAAATTATAATGACACAATTGTATGTAACTTAATGCAGTGGGTTTCAAACCCATGGCAAGCCAGTCTAGTGGATATAGAATACTCCTAGTTGGATGAATCTTATTAGGCCAGTATAGTACAGTGGCTAGTGCTAGTTTTAAGACTGGCTTGCCATAGGTTCAAACCCCACTACATTTAATGAGTTTACAGTTGTGTCATGATTTTACAATACATGTACATGTTAGTGGCATTTATTAAAAATAAATTTTCATGATTTTTTCTATTATTAGAGGTTGTTACATAAACAGATGTATAAAAGGTGCACCTGAAGTTGATGGTTAATATTTATTTAGATTCATTATCCATGTTGATTTTTGGTGTTAAGTCGTAGATACTTTGTCAGGTTGACAGCATGGACAACTCGTATCCTACAGCATGCTCAGTTTCAAGACTGGGAAAACATCATTTACATAGAACCTAGGATAATTTCTAAGGCTATTGAGTGGCTTGTTAAGTGGCAGGACCCCATCACTGGAGCCTTCAGGGAGACGCCTTCGTATGAAAAAGTTCCACTCGATAAGAAAGCCAGTAGTTATGTAAGTTTTTTGGGACTTGGTTTTAATTACTTTTCTAGTATTGTGATAATAAATGTGGTATTTTTTTTAACAAGTCGGCTGTCACCCTGCCTCAGTGGGAGACGGCCAACTTGTAAAAAAAAAAAAAAGTGCTGTAAATGTTTTACTTGACATAAATGTTTAGCATTTAAGATAAACCTTATTCCAGATATATAAGTGGAGGCAAATGGTTTTTATCACTTGATGTGCTGTTGGAGTGTGAGCCAGGTAATATGAAGGAATTCAGGAAAACCAGTTAGCTAGACTTGAGTCCTGGAGGTGAGAATTACAGTGCCTGCACTCTAAAGAAAGGGTTGAGATATGTTGCAGTTTTTGAACTGAATTATCTGCACTCTTCTGGCAAGACAGTAATATAGTTAGTGATAGTGAAAGTGTTTCTTCTTTTTTGAGTCATCCTACTTTAGTGGGAAGCAGTCAGGGTTAAAAAAAAAAAATAGCATCTTTTTATTATAATGCACAAGTTGTCTTCCTTTTCTAGCATGACTATAATTTCTCAACAGTCATATGGGGCTCACCATCGAGGTCCAAAGAATATCACCTTGACTGCTCAGTGCCTGATCACACTGGAGATCACCATATCTTCCCTACAGGGTCGTGTCAGAGGACAAGCTAATAGTGCACGCGCACAAGCCATTAGGTGATGGAATCCTCCTGTACTGTTTTCTTTTTAGTTTATTATAACCACAATGAAATGTCAGACTAACAATAAAGTATAAACAGCAATTTGTTATAGAATAATCAGGATATATTTTTCGTTTTAAATTTAAATTTGATTTAAGTTAATTGCTGTATGCAACATCAAATAAAAAGTTGCATCATTTTTTTTTTGTAGAATTGCAAAGGGATGTTTTAGATCTTAAAAGCTCATCATTTTGATACTCTCTGTGATTCCTAGATTTACGGAATGATGTTCTACTGTCCTTTCTTTTGTAAATCTGCTCACCAGAGTATTTGAACTTGTTTTGAGTTTGTACAGTGTTTCTGCTCTTGTAGATATTTGTCGAGGGAGCTGAAGTCTCTATATGATCCCTATGAAGTAGCCATTGTGGCATACGCACTTTCTGTCGCCAACTCCGTGGATAAGGAAGCAGCCTTCAATGCACTGGATCGTTTGAAACGAGAAGAAAGTGAGTTGCTGAACTGTTGCCATGATCGTTATTCCAAGGTGAACTGTGTGTGACAGAAGTTTTATGCCTTGGCAAATGATTTTCAGGTGCATGTGTTTTTCTAGCTAGATTTAGAGTTAAGTTTGCTTGAAATGCTCTGCATATAAAGGGACTTTTGGGATGTACACCCAGTTGTTATACTCCTTTTTTCAAACATGTATCATGCTAAAATAAAATTATTGTTATTATTAGAAGTAAATGAATGCTTTATTGTTGCTATATGAAAATCTGTTGGAAGAATACCTAGAAATATTGTATTACTGATAACACTGGCTAACAAAGGTTTCAGTTCACATTTAAAAAAATTTTTATAACTTTGGGACACTGAATTAAAATCTGAAATTAATTTTGCTCTCAATGTACAGTTTCTGTGAAATAGAATCCCACAGTGATTGATTTCACTAAGACATAATAGTTATAGAGAAGAGATATCAGGGTAACCTGGTTATCACAGTGATGGCTGGCTACTGCTGGACACTGCTGCAGGAGAGCAATATTAAACACAAAGGAAAATGCCTGAGAACTGTGATGTGCATATGTTTGTATATGACTGTATGGAAATTTGTTATTTTGGTAATGCATATTTATAATGAATTTATTTAATGAAAGATTAGTTTGCTGCTTTTCTATGTAATTATCATTAAATAATATACTGCATGTATGGTCTTTGGGAGACTACTGTTATTTTTTTTTTTTTCATTTCTTAGCCCTGCACCTGTTTAATGTAGTAATGCATATAAAACTCTGTCATGGCTCTAAAACTTTCCTTTTTTTTTTTGTTATGATTTCCTTCCGAAAGATAATATTTGTAACAAAAGATTGTATATGAGCTTGTCAGAAATTATTGTCAGTGTAATTGAGCCCTAGCACTATTGCAGATGGACTTATTTACTGGTCTCGAGCACCCATCAAGACCAATACCCGAGTGTACGAGAACAACCAGAGGAACTTGCTGCAGCCTAAGTATGAACAGGAGTGGGATTCTCATGCTGTTGAGGCTACATCATATGCTCTGCTTGTTTACCTCATCCGTGATGGTGTCAACATTATTCAGGAACGAATTGTGGAGTGGCTAAATGCAATGAGGATGCATGATGGAGGATTCATATCAACTGTGGTAAGTACATCCAAAAGTACCATTAAGCATTAAAGAATTTTGGTTACTTGTGTATATATTGCTGTGTGTGTTTTCTTTGTGCTGATTGTTGTAGCAAGTTTGCATATTTAATTATGCTGGCCAGCAATGGTTTAAGTTTAAAAATGTGTTTCTACCTAATTTTGAGATAGAAACTTAGTTTTTGTTAAATAGAACCCCATGGTGAACAATTTCACCAAGACATAGGCATCATAGTCTGTACCTGGGTGTTAGTCAACTGGTGTAGGTTGCATCCTGGGGACAAAATAGTGTATTATACTTAAATTATTTTTTTAGTTATCCTTTTTAGTAATTGGTGGTAATTGTTTTTCATTTCAATAATTACAACAACTATATTCTCTGTTTACCTATTACTAGTACATACGTAAATTCTCCATTGTCTTATGAATGCTAATATTGATCCTGATATTAATGTCTTGTTAAACGGAAATAACAATCCTGAAAATAATTGCCAGTATTACACTGCAAGTCAGACAAAAACTGTACTCAGTGCCACCAAGAACATAACAGTATTAAATTATAATGTTAGATTTCCTAATATTTGACTGATTGTCCTGATTGAGCCTGCTCATACCCATCTTTTAAACCCTTGTATGTCTACTTCCAATTTTATTTTAGCTCATTTCAATTTATTGCAGGACACACTGGTGGCATTGCAGGCTCTAACAGAGTACTCGTACCGTGCACGTTTGAGGGATATTACTGACATGCGTGTAAATGTTGAGGCAACTGGAGAAATTGGGCGAGCCTCCCATTCTGTCGTAATTTCTAACACAAGTGTGTCCAAGATGAATTTAATTCCAGTAAGCACTTCTTTTTTAATTGTTTTAATTCACTTTTCTTTCATAATACCTGATTGCCTCCTCTCCTCCAGGTGCTGTGTGACTTCCTTTGGATTTACTGCTTCCCATGATTATACTAATAATTGATGCAATTCAGAGTTCGGTGTAATGATAAACAAGCCCTTATTTATTGTTATAACTGTTTGTTTGTAAATCTTAGAACACAGATTATAAAATCTAGAATCTAGAGCATTATATATTATGGTGTATAGCTGTGGGGTTTTGTTTGCCAACTGGAAAAGTGACACATTCTCCTTGGTGACCTGGGCTTGTTAATAACTGTCATACATTAAATAAATTCTAGATTCAAAATGTGTGGGGATTGGTGAACGTTGTGGCTCATGGCGCTGGTCAGGCCATCCTTCAGCTGGATGTGAGTTATGGTGTTGACTGGACACCCCTGAAGAAACAGCCACCAGTTGATGCATTTGAACTGGAGGTTAGGGAGTTCTATACACCATTCGGCAACAAATCTCACTGTAATATAAAAGTCTGTGCAAGGTAATGTTCTCGCTGTTGGTTTATAGCTGAATCATAAGGAGATGCTTTAGTTGTGCTAAAATTTTAGACCTTGGTACAAAGATACATTTTTTCCATACAGCATCATAACTTTGATCAAAAATAGAGGGTATTACCCTTTTTGCTCTACATACTTGTCTAAGAACCTAACATCTCATTCTGGGCATACTTGGCAGGGATATTTTTCCTTGCATAAAAATTTGCTAAGACTTTATGGCATATAGTTTACATGATGGTAAGATTGCTGGTGTCCTTCTTTCTGTCTCATAAACATGCAAGATTTCAGGTACGTCTTGCTACCTCTACTTACACTTAGGTCACACTACACATACATGTACAAGCATATATATACACACCCCTCTGGGTATTCTTCTATTTTCTTTCTAGTTCTTGTTCTTGTTTATTTCCTCTTATCTTCATGGGGAAGTGGAACAGAATTCTTCCTCCGTAAGCCATGTGTGTTGTAAGAGGCGACTAAAATGCCGGGAGCAAGGGGCTAGTAACCCCTTCTCCCGTATAAAATACTAAATTTAAAAGAGAAACTTTCGTTTTTCTTTTTGGGCCACCCTGCCTTGGTGGGATACGGCCGGTGTGTTGAAAGAAAGAAGAAACACGCAGGATACCAGGTACATCTTGCTACTCCCATTTACATTTAGGTCACACTACACTTGCATGTACACACACATGTATATATATACACGCACACTCATCTGGGTTTTCTTATATTTTCTTAATAGTTCCTGTTTTTCTTTTATTTTCTATCTCCATGGGGAAGTGGAACAGAATTCTTCCTTCAATAGCCATGCATGTCATAAGAGGCAACTAAAATGCCAGGAGCAAGGGGCTAGTAACCCCTTCTCCTGTATACATTACTGAAGTTAAAAAGAAAAATTTATGTTTTTCTTTTTGGGCCACCCTGCTTCAGTGGGATGCAGCTCGTTTGTTGAAAGAAGAAATTACAAATATGGTTGAGATTCCTTTTAACCCACTCAGAGACTTGTTCTCAGGGTCAGCCAAATTTAAAAAAAAAATATATATATATATTTTTTTTTCTTTTGAAAAGATAGAGAATCTTTTCCCGATCATAATGACACCAAAAATATGAAATTTGATGGAAAACTTATGGAATTATGCTCTCGCGAAGTTAACGGTCTCGACGATGTTTACGCATCAGCGATTTTGCCCACTTTGAGCCCTATTTTTGGCCAATTCCAGTCTACTTGTCGACAAAAATCATAACTATTTCACAAGAACTCTATTTTTTTCTATCGAATGAATACAAGAAACCACCCATTTACCGATTTCAACTATCCAATAGAGTGGTCAGAATTTAGCAATTTTGCCAATATCACACAAATTTCAAAAGATGCCAATTTCCGAATAGGGTCCAGAATAAACAAGAAAGACATTCCTGGCACTAAAATAACATTTCCTCTGTTCATTAGTCATATCCCCATGCCCCTCTTACATTCTTTTGCTTTCCACTTTGAATTTTTATTCTCACAAAAAAATAGAAGATTTACTGTTATGCAGACTACTGCATTAGTGTAGAAATGGTATAAATAATATCAGTGCATTTGTGAAAGAATATTAGACTCACCAGTTGACGTGTATTGGACGCATAGCATGATTTGTTTACTTTTGAACTTTGGTAAAAATCGAACATTTCTGCTACTTTGAGCTCAATTTCAAGGTACTTTTCTTTGTAAAACCAGTCAAAATCATCTCAATTTCTGTAATATGTCTTCCATTCTATAAAATGAGACCAGGAAAACTAGAATACAATAATAAATCTTTCTTTCTTCTTTCAACACACCGGCCGTATCCCACCGAGGCGGGGTGGCCCAAAAGGAAAAACGAAAGTTTCTCCTTTTACATTTAGTAATATATACAGGAGAAGAGGTTACTAGCCCCTCGCTCCCGGCATTTTAGTCGCCTCCTACAACACGCATGGCTTACGGAGGAAGAATTCTGTTCCACTTCCCCATGGAGAACAATAATAAATACCATACGAAAATACAGTGCAAAGTCGCTGTTTTAATCCAAAAACACAGTCAAAGTTTTTTTTCTCATTACACACCGTGTGCTGCAGGATTTTTTTTATACCGTGCACACTGACCACATAGACCCATTCTTTCATATGTAGACCTACCAGCTTTCTCTCACTAGATTTGAGGGCGCTAGAATTTAGGCATACTAGTACGTCAAAAACCCTGGTGCATAAGCCGTACTAGTACTGCCGAAACCCTGAAAGGGTTAATGGTCTATGTATTGTTTTGATTGCATTATGTTATTGATACATGTATTTAGCTTATAACAGCAAGTTATTCACATTTGCAACATGTTCATAATAATAGAAGCAACTTGTTAAGATAGTAACAAATCAGTGATGATTAGCAACACTTGATGTTCAAAGTACTGAGTAACCTAATATTTATGCTGCTTTTTCAATTATACAAACCACTCAATGTATTTATGCTTTGAACTTGCTTGGATGTTTCTTTATGTTGTGTAGTAAAAGTCTTTTGCACATTTCAGGTGGATCAATTACAAAGAGGCAGAGCAGAGTTCAGCTACAGTCATAGAGATTGAGGTGCCCACTGGTTATGTGGCTTTTCAGATAGATCTTGAGAGGAGTATTCATGAGGCTCAAATCACGAAAACTTTCCCTTCCCTGCGAGATGTCATTGGTGGACACGGTGATGTGTTTGCCAAGAAAACTGTCTGGTTCTTTGATTATGTAAGCTATATATCTATTTATATAATAGAGATTGTTTTATAAAAGCACAGTAATTGCTTAACCATAATTTACTATTTGTATTTATGAAAGTTAGTTCCAGCTTTTTGTAGTAATAAGCTTGCTGTCTAGTTCTTAATGTTCAAGTGTAGTGTAGCTTAGGTTGATAATGTAAGCTTAACAGAGCTTGGGGTTCAAGAGTTGACATTGATGAAACTATAACTCTTAAAAAGTAATCTTTGCCTATTTATCTCTTGCTTGTGTCAAAAATAAAGGTATTCATCTTTTAATGTGTTTGAGTTGATGGGGAGGAGGGAGGGGTTGTGATTAGGGGGTGGCTGTTATGGGAGGGTTGTGGGTAGGTAGGGTAGTGAAGCTGGGTTGTGATATGGGGGGTTAATGTGAGTGGCTGTTAAGGAGGAGGCAGCTGGTGGGACATTGTTCTAAGAAGGAGGGGGGAGAATGTACAAGAGGAAGACTAGGAGAAATAACAGAAGATGATGTAATATGTATAGGGAGAGGGAAAAGCCAGAGTAAGTGAATAATGTATAAAGAGATAGGTTTAAATATAAGTAGAGGAGAGTAGATGGGGAAAGGATGAATTGGGTTTTGATGTGTTTGTGTAGGGAGAGTATAGTGACAGGAGGAAAGTAGAAGTGTAAATCAGGAACGTGTTAATTGTTGTGCACGCTGGAATTTTCCAATTTTTTCGTCGGGTTTCATGGCATGTAAAGCGGGAAACCTTTACAAACTTGAATGCAGTAAATAGGGCTATCTTTTTTTCAATGTGTTTTTAATGACTAATTTTATTTTCTGTTGTATTTTTTTTTAATTTAAATGGCTTGGGGCAAGTCCCCAAAACAGTTATTAGACAAACAGATTACTTAACTTGATTTGCAAAATTCCATCCAATAAGTGGGGCTTCACCACCTGATAAAGCGAGGGTTTTCCTGGGGCTAATTTACAATGTTAAAGGCTACAATTTATGACTTTCCCAACCAGGTAAGGTGCTGTTTTTTAAAGATAGATGTTATTATGTATACACTTCATTGGAAATTGACTGCTGCGGGGAAACTATTCTAGCTTGGGGTTTTTTCTTTATCTATTTTCAAATTTTACAAGACAGTAGATTGAATTGAAAGAGGCTTCCCCATTATTTATATTTATTCTTCCATTTTTTTTTTTTTTTTTTTTTTTTTTTTTTTTTTTTTTTTCAACAAGTCGGGCCGCCCACCGGGGCAGGGTCCCAAAAAAGAAAAAAAAACCCCAAAAAAGAAAATCTTTCATCATCATTCAACACTTTCCCACCTCGCACATTATCACGTTTTTTTAAATTTGTAAATGTCTAGATAATCTTAGTCTTTAACCCTTTTACTTTTTGGGCACATAAACATCTTTCGACCAGTGTTTCAGACATATATGACCAAATTTTAAATTTTAGCGGCTTCAAACAAGCGGAAAAAAGCTGGTATTCCCACATAGAAAAATGGGGCTGTATGGTGAGTGTCACCACAAAAAAAAAATCCTGCAGCACAAAAATGCGTAATGGAAAAAAAAAACTGATCGTTTTTTGGATTAAAAAGCCGATTTGGGGGTGTATTTTCGTATAGTATTTATTGAGATTTGCGTTTTCATGGCTTAGGTGATAAAATGGAAAAAAATTACAGAAATAGAGATGATTTTCATTACTTTGACGATGAAAACATCCTTGAAACTGAGCTCAAAGCAGCGGAAATGTTCGATTTTTACCAATGTTCAGGAGTAAACAAATCACACCACACGTCCAATACACGTCAACTGGGGAGTCTAATATTCTTTCACTAGTGCACTGATATTATTTATACCATTTTCACAATAATGCAGTAGTCTGCATAACAGTAAATTTTGTATTTTTTTGTATGAATAAAAAATCAAAATAGAAAGCAATAATAATATAAGAGGGGCCTAGAGATGTGACTAATGAACAGAAGATATGTTATTTTAGTGCCAAGAATGTCGACCGTGTTTATTCTGGACCCTATTTTAAAATTGGCATCTTTTTTAGTTTGCGTGAAATTGGCCAAATTGCCAATTTCTGACCACAATATTGGGTAGTCCAAATTGGTAAATGGGAGGTTTCTTGTACTCAGCTGATAGATAAAATGGAGTTCTAAAGAAATAGCTATGAGTTTGGTCAACTGGAACAACGGAATTGGCTGAAAATAGGTCTCAAAGTCGGCGAAATCGCCGATACGCATATGTCGCCGAGACCGATAACTTCGCGGGAGCATAATTCCATGAGTTTTCGACCAAATTTCGAACTTTTGGTGTCATTACCATCGGGAAAGGATTCTCTATCATTTCATAAGAATTTTTTTTTTTTTTTTTTTTTTCAAAAATTTAGCGACATAGAATGACAGTTTCAGAAAGGGGCCTGAAACAGTCAAAGGGTTAACTTAGGGTAGAATTGTTCTTTAAGGTCTGCAAGTGTAGCACACAAAATAATGTGAAGGGATTGCACATTAACTAGTTTTTATGATTTTTCTGAGTAATGTGTAGGATCTGAAGTTGGAGTTAGGATTCTGAGTGCTGTCTTTTTTTTTTTCTGTAATAAGCTTGATTTAGTAGCTGGTTGTTAGGGGCAGTGCATAGATTCAATATATGACATGAATAACTGAGTTTATGTAAGGTTAATAAAGTAGTTTGTAGAGAATAACAGATTTTTAAAAGAATACCTACTGTGTTGGATGTATTAAAATTAAGTGTTGTCTTGGAAACTTAGAAATTTACCTATTTGTTTTCTTTAAACTTTGATGTTATTGGTTTGAGGGTTTGGATGGCAGGAAAGTTTGGAGGGAGGGGGTATAGGAGATTTTGTATGTGAGGGGCTTGGACTTCCAGTAAGTGTGCATGAGCGTGTTAGATAGTGAGTAGAGGTGAATAGTTTTTATGACTTGATGTGCTGTTGGAATGTGAAAAAAATAACATTTATGAAGGGATTCAGGGAAACCGGTAAGCCAGACTTGAGTCCTGGAAATGCGCTCTGAAGGAGGGATGTTGATGCGTTGCAGTTTTTTAACTGTAGTATCAGCATGCCTCTGGCAAGACAGTGATGGAGTGAATGCTGATGAAAGTGTTTCTTCATTTTTGGGCCACCCTTCCTTGGTGGGAAATGGCTGATGTGTAATAAAAAAAAAAAAAAAAAACTTTATTAAAGCATTTTTTTTTCCAGTTGCCCTGGCTCAGTGGGAGACAGCCATTGTGTTAAAATATATATACAGTGGTCCCTCGTTGTTCGTAATTAATCCGTTCCGGGACCGTTACAAAAAAACAAAATTTTTACGTTTTAAACGAATCAATTTTCCCCATAAGAAATAAGAAATAAAATTAATCCATTCCTGCATCCAAAGTATTAAAACAAAAAAATTTTTAACATGAAATTACTTTATACAAAAAATACAAGGGGAAAAATGAGAATGAAACATTAACAGCATAAACTTACCTTTTTTGGGGAGATTCTTCTTAGTGTATGGAGACTGGGGAGGAGAGAGAGTATTGTTTATTTTGGAAGGGGAATCCCCTTCCATCAACCCCTCAGGTACCATTTGCTTTTCTGGGGTTCTTCTCTTCTCTTTTTTTAAATCCCCACTAGGACCCCCTTGAAGTCCGGGAGCCTGCCACAAAATAACTAGGAGAGAGCTCTGTTTCTGGCTCTTTTTTAACACTTCCCTAAAAGGGCCCAAGACTTTTGTCACTGTACATGTTGCCAACCTGGCTTCAAAAACCCTTGTTAGGGGATTTTCTCCATAAAGTTTTCCCATCTTCCCCCCACATAGAAAAAAATCTCTTTAATTTTCAAAGAAGGCCCCCTTCTTCCATCTCTTTTCCCTCCTCCTCTGCACAAGATTCTAGCTGCGATATTTTGCTTTTTCCTGCTGAAGCCTTACACTCCTCAGGGGTGAGCTTTTCATTGTGGTTTTCCACCAATTCTTCCACCCTCCAAACTCACATCCAACCCCATGGAACTCCCCATGCCACAATTGTTTTTACAACAACATAGGCCTTTAGGGCAGTCCAAAATCCTTAAAAATCCCCTTTTAACACAACGGGCCACAATTTTCTCCGGGCAGATTTCAAAGTCCTGGAGTCCCCCCCCGCCATACCTAAAGGGTTTATGCAGTGGAGGATGCGAAGTGTTCTCCCAAAAAATTCCCTTAGGGTCAAGTGATTTCCCTGTGGTCACAGTCAAGCACCTGGAAACATTTTTTTGTTAGATTTTTTTTTAAAATTTTGCAATAACCTGCGTCCATGGTTGGGAGAGAGGAGTGGTATTCGGGGGCAAGAACTTTCGTGATGAACCCAAACTCCTCGAAAATTAGGTCATCCAATTTTGGAGGATACACATTGTCCTTTACTACACGCACTTAGATCCAATTTTTTTTCCGGGAGATACCCTTTCACACTAGGGCCAAACACTTCATTAAACCCATCAAAACAAAAAATTTCCCTCGGACCCATGCCTTACTTTTAGATTTCCAAAAACACACAAATTTACTCTTCATAACATTTTTTTTTCCTGAACACACTGGGTTTTTCAGAAGGGTACACTAGTAATGGCTTCATTTTTAAACCCCACACTTTAGTCAGAACATTAGCCAGCCTGTCTTTCATAGGTTATGTCCTTGCTTTGCCTTTCCCCTTTTGTTAATAAAGGGTCCCTTTGGGCATTTTTTTCCAAAAAGGCCTGTTTTCATCACAATTGAACACTTGTCGGGTTTCGTCCTTCACCCTCTATGTATTTCCTGGAATTCACACAATTTTTCACCGCCTTGTGGTCCGAAGGGGCACCCCCTCACCAGCCCCTACCCACTGTGTATGCCAGATGGTTTTTAAATCTCTCAAACCAGCCTTTGCTGGCCCTTTAAAATTCACTCATTCACCACTATTTGCAGGCAATTTCTTTACCAAATCTTCATGCAACTCCCTACCTTTTCACAAAAAAACGAAGTCTAAGATACTCCTGCTAATTTTTCTCATTTTCCACACCAAAATAATTTCCCAAACCCTTTTCCCCAGTACGG